GGGCAAACCCTAATTTGTGAAACCTAAGGCGTATCAACAACCTCAAGACATGGAGAAGTAAAAAACAAAATTTGGTATCAAGATCTAGTGCAAAAGCATAATTTAGTTCTATGGCACTAGGAATATGTGAACTGTTACCGTTTAAAATTATCTTTGAAGATTTAAAATGTTGAATGGAAAGATTCTATGAAGCTTCATTATGACAAGAAGTTGACATTAATATTGCACACAAACCCATGTAACACGGCTGAACATAATATATTGTAATGGATAGCCATTTTATAAAGGGGAAGTAGTAGTGGCATAATTTGTTCTACATTCATTATCACATATGGCCAACTTATAGACTTTCTTAACAAAGATTTATTGGGAATAATATTTCAAAAATTGCCATGCAAGCTTTGAATTGACAATATTTCTTCGTTCACTTTAGTGGGAGTACGTATCAATCTCCATCGATTCCGCCCCCATTATTTTTGCCTCCATCAATGTTTCATCAAGCCCAGTAGTCTTCCATCTTCCTAATTCACTTCATGCCACCTCAAAAGGTCTATAAGATTATTACTATCACCTCATCAATCCATGAACTATTGAAATTATTCTATAATTATTACTCTACCGACTCATCAATTCATGGATTATTATAGCTATCCTTTCCTGATTTTATATATTTCCTATTAGAAGATCTCCTAGACTTGGATAAATACTACACAAATATTATAATGAGATGACAAGAAGTAGAATGGCAAATAGACTTGTATCTATCTATCTAGAGAGAGAGAGAGAGAGAGAGTTACATGGGTACAAGTCACAGGTACCAAAGAGGTTAGTTACATGTAGCACACGCCATTCTTATGAAAAAAGTGATAAGAAACTTTATTTGACACGATTTCATTCAAGCGATCTCTGCAAAACCATTGCAATGTTTTTGTTTTGTGTGATAATCCATATTATTAAAAATTATTAAGATTTTTCACATGACTTACAATGCCCTCTACCTTTAATTTCAGCGGTGAGTGCTATTGATACAAGCGGGATCTCTTTTTTTATGGAATTAAAAAAGACAACAGAGAAAGAAGGTTTAAAGGTATAAAAAAAATCTCTCACTGTTTCATTACATACATAATAAATAAACTTGATGAGTCCTTTATCTTTAACATTACAGCTTGCCTTCATAAATCCTGTGGGAGAAGTCATGGAGAAATTACAGAGAGCAAATGGCCTTCACAGTCTTTTTGGACCAGAATATTTCTATTTGACAACAGGGGAAGCAATACTTTGGCTTTCATCTCTGTCGAAGGAATCAAGACAAGGATCCAAAGGAACAAGCGGTATTTCTAACCTATAATTGCAAATGACCTCTAGATCTCTATATGGGCAATTAATCAGCAACTTCTTGCACTCTTTTTGCTCCCTAACTGAAGTATTTGAATTGTACTGGAGGTACACTGTGTTCTTCCTCCTCTTCAGTTGAATTTAATCTTTTCAAGCACTACTTGTTTTGTGATAATCAAAGCTGAGTTAGAGATATCAATGTTTTTCAATAAAGAAGTCTTATCCATTTTAATAGGAAAAATTTTTCTGTAGTTACTGCTGATTTATCATTATTTCTAGTGTAAGAGAGGCTTTATGAAACTGACAACAACAACAATAACAACAACAAAATCAAGTCTTTATCCCATTATATGGGGTCGATTATATGAATCCTTTTTTTCCATTGTGTCATGTTAAAGGTCAAATTCTCATTTAAATTTAATAACGAATAGTCATTTCTAATATTTTCTAACCAAGTCTTTTTAGGTTTAAATCTACCTTTCTTATCTTATTCTTGTTATCTCCTAACCAAATTATCGGAAGGCCTCTGTTTATATGACCAAAACATCTAAGGCGATTCTCTCTGATTTTATCTTTCACTGGAGCTACTCTAACCTTTTCACGTGTATACTCGTTTTGAATCTTGTCTCTAGGAGTAAAGCCATTCATCCACCTGAGCATCCTCATATCTGCAACAGTTAACTTAATATTATGCTTTATGGAACTGACATTAACAGAAATGAAAATGATCCACCAATTATTGAATAAACTATTTTCAATAATAGTACCACCTTCCAAGTTTTTGTAGCGACATTTGTCATTGCCTTACACCTTCATATACCAATCTCATTGCCTACACCTAAAACACAGCCCACTCATCATGGCTTATGCAACATCAAAGGTTGAACTCCAACTCAACACCATAATAAATTTACTACAAGCAAAAACAAGTTAAGCGACACTCGAGAGGACCATTCATATGCCATGACCATTATCAACTAAAAGCTTCACATCTATGATCTCAACTTGTTATATATCAATCCACACTCCAAGAGGACATTATTGATAGCATAGGAGTAGTTGTCGATTGAGACAATTGTGACTTTAACTTCTGAATGACTCGGGACTTATGTTAATAGTTGATAATGGTCTTGGCATATCAATGGTCCTCTCGAGTTGATTTTTGACGTGCTCATGTAGAAATTATGTGGAGAGAAGTGGAAGGTTGAGTTTTCGAGTTCGATTACTTATTGACAAAGAGGAAAATGATTCATCAATGAGAGAGTTCAACAAGAAAGGACAATAATGAAAGGTGAAAATATATAACCCTAAAATGAAGCAACACACAATTGTGATTTGGCCTACAAGCCTACCTCCATTATAGAAATGAGGAAAATTTTTCATAAAGCAAAAATGGGAAATACAAAAGTTTATCTCATAATTCTCCTAATCTGCTTTCTTTGTTACAAGTTGGCCCGCATGTAATCCAATAAAGTTAATTATCTTTGAAGCTTGAGTTCTTGTCATATCTTCTTAATCCCTCCTTTGAAAGCCCAAAGAGGGGGCATTAATAGATGTTGGGTCATCACTTATCTTTAGTAACCATGCCCATCAGTTTGTCATTGTGATTGATTTCTTGTGTTGTGAGACTCAAGGGGAGATATGAACAAGGTGTGTTGGTGCTTCATAGTGGGATGAATCTAATTAAATAGTTCTTGCAATTTCATGACTCAAATCAGGACATCCGTAGCTCCATCCAACCAGCCATGTAAATCTAGCATTTTTAGCGGTTTAGTTCCATCTTTTTTTTTTTAGCTATTCAACTATTATTGCTACCTACATTGGTTACGTTCTCCCCTAATCAAAATTTGACTTATGAATGACTATGATAAGGTGTGAAATTGGGAGGTTATAATTTTTTTTTCCTATTTTTAGACTCTAGAAATATATGCATTTAGAACAACAATCAATGCTCATTTGTGAACAGTCCCCTTTGAATTTTGAGCTCTCCTTATTGTAATAGTTCTTCTCATCTGAAATATTTTCTTAGAGCTTATGAGAGATATTTAGCACTTTGTAACATCAATGAGTGAGAGAAAGAAGACCAAACATGATCGCAGCTCTTCAGAGGTGTCTTTGGCTAAGGTGGGTGGCACCTTTGAAAACCATGGTGTTCGGCTCCTCATGCTCTTGAAGAAGATACTTTGATAAGGTGTGAAGACGGGCGAATTATTACGTCCGGTCACTGGGCGTCCGGACATCCAATCCAGACGTGCCACATCACTCGAATACACTAGGTCCCGATGTATTTTGATGACGTGGCACATCCGGATTGGTGTCCGGAAGAATACGGACACCGGACGTAATAATTTTCCGTGAAGACGAGGACCTAATGAGATAATAATTTTTTTTTCAAGTGAGGTGGAGACCCTGTAGAACATTATTGTATAAAATGATTCAAAGACACTGTGGATTAATGAGGATTGAAAATCAACCATTATTGCTATCAGTGATGACGACAACCGAGGCGGAAACATAATGGTTGGGCCTTGCATTTTAGGCTATCTCAGATTGCTCATAAATCACTCATTAAAAGTAAGAAGAATATAAGGTATTTAGGATTTTTTTTAATGGTAAAATAATTCAAAAAAATCATATCTACTTGTTCTCTAGTTCAAAAATTAAGGAAATGCAAGGGGAAAAAAAAGTATGCCTCATAAGCTTATTCATCAAATGATCTTTCTTACATGGATTGAAAATAATTTTCTAAAAATTAATGGTTAAATAATCCAAGAAAATCATGAAATTTATTATAAATTCATTAAAAACTAAACTTCTTCGTAAGATTTATTTTGATGAGATTTAGCTTAAATATTTTTATTTCCCCGAATGTTCCTTAGATAGTTGAAAAGGACTACCTAAAGTAGTGCAAATTAGCTTTGCCTAACTCAAGTTGAATCTCTACAGCACCTTTTTAATATACAAAGCTTGAGATACCTTCAGTATACCTACACATCTTTCACTATTGATTCTTATATTGAGAATTTTTTTTGTTGAACCCATTTTTTTCATTTCAAACTCATTTGATTGTTGTTCCTTCATACATCTTATTTTCTCTATATCTAACAATGCATTTAACATGACATCCACATAGAAAAGCAAAAAGATGTAAGAACTATCAAAATATTTAAAGAAACTACAATGGTTTGCATAACACTTTATGCACCCATTGTCTAACATAAAGCTATCAAATATCTTATACCATTGTCTTGGTATCTTCTTTAACTCATATATACTATGTTTGAGCCTACATACCATATTTGTTTAAGCCTTGTCCACATATGTAACAACCCATATTATAACTCAATCAAGGAATTTTTCAGGAGTTATTATTAGCACAATTTATAAATCATCTTCATCATAATATAGATATTATTATGCTTTAATTATAATAAATTTATTTCTAATTTATGAGTAGTGTAGATATGAAAACAAGAAGCTTCTTATTTAATCTAATTTCTTAATAAATTAATATGTGTCGGCACAAGGGATTTTTTTAGACTTTTATGTGATTTTTTAAACCAATTTCATGAGAACATTCTAGACATGATAAGCTATCTTACGAATATTTTTCAATAATTTTTTTATCCCTACATTTAAAACATATAAAAGTATTTATAAGACTTTTATGCTCAAAATTGAATAATTGACAAAGTTACCATTATGCCCTGAAGATTTTCTCATAAGAAAATCTAAATCCATTAGATATTTTATTAAATGCCATTTTCATTCATTTCCCCAAGCCAAAGAAAAAAATCAAATTTGAGAAGAAAAGAGAGGAGGAGAGAGAAACATAGGGTTTGGGAGTCATAAAGTTATTTTTATTGGTTAGTCTAGTTGAGAAATTTGTTCATCTCAAAGTAGGCTACAATTACCCTACCTCTAATTTCAATGATTTTATATATTTTGTTTTTTATAAATTTTAATTTGATCAAAACTTGCAAAAGTTATGATATCTTAATTTTTTTTAGTAAACTTCCACAATATAACTTTTAAACACTAATGTTCCAGGTCCCAGTCTTAGATGAGAAAAGTGGAGGATTGTATTAGGTAGTAAATTGCTAGTGTAAAACTTATTAAATAATCATGACATAAATTCTTTAATACATTGTGTTAATTCTAGGGCATTTTTTGTAAGCGGCGAATTGTATGGCCTAAATACAATGACAAATGTGCAAGGGTTGTTGCACCGGCACCCATGTGCAGTGTTAAATATACAATGATTCCCATATCATAGATGTTGTAAATCTGGACGCAAGTCCTATTATTTTAATGATAACAAACATTATTGGACTTTTTACTATAATATGTCAATTTATTGCATTTATATTTTGCCCGCTCACTAACATTTCAGGTCCAGTGTTCACTTGAAACTTCAATCAGCTCAAAATTTGGTATATTAGGATTGGATCTATTTGTAATTTTAACTTCAATATACTTTTAACTTTCTTCAATCAAGTCATGTATATGGTAGATATTAAGCTAAATAACATTGTACACACACACTTAAGGAAGTGAGTTGGTGAGTTTAAAAAAATTCTATTTTTTGAACTAATCCTACAGTACGATTTGTATCGTATTGGACGATATGTTAAAAAAAATCCTAATTAAGGCACCTCAATTAATTAAAAGTTATTAAACTCATCATACTATACAATCTACATCGTGATATACTATCTATTATAATCAACAAAATAGCCACCAACTACAATTTAGACAAAATTTTAATATTCAAAAGCTGTGCCTGATTGTAGCGTATGATCTTAATCGTATTGTACGATGGACGATAATCATGCCTAAATTGAACCTATGGTTGGGTGTTTAACTATGGTTAAATTGATCAATCAGATCATATAGGACGACCATAGATGATCACACAGTACGAATTGATTCCTCCATGGGATGATAATTAAACGTCGCTCATCGTCCAACATGAAAAATCATAATTTTTCATTGATTGTACACGAAGATCCTCAAAACTTTGTATAATACGAACTGATCGTCGCATGAGACGATATTTAATCACCAGCTATAGTACTGGAAGATTAGTTCAATCTGTTAAACTAATCATATAGAACGATCGTAGGATCGTACACGATTATCAAAATAATCTATTGAATCGATCGTCCAGACCAGTGCAGTTCATATTTGCTGAAAGTGTTGTTTTGAACTAATCATACAGAACGATATGGATCATACTGGATGATCAAAAGCGCCATATTGAAAATTAGGG